ATCTTGGGCAGAACATGGCTGCATGCTATGCGTTCGGTAGCGTCATCATACCATTAGGTAATGCGGTTCCCCAATGACACCGGCATAATTGAAGAAGTCTATGGAGATCAGATCATGTCAAAACAATGCTTCGCCACAGCGAATGGAAGCCGAGCTGCCAAAGGATATGTTCATTCGGTGGAAGAACCAGAGAGTAATGAACTATTCGCGGACGTCGGTAAAGAGGCTGATCAGAAAGCGGTGGAGGACTTGGTGGAGGTAAAAATAGATGAGAAGAACCCGGATAAGTTCTTCTTGCTTGGCTCATCGTTGTCCAGTATTGAGAGATTAGAGGTCTTGAAATTCTTGACCTCTAACATCGAAGTGTTTGCTTGGACGCCCAAGGAGGATGCCAGGGCAAGGGATCCACATAGAGTTTCAGCCTTGCAGCGGTTGGCTCCTCGGACGCATGGAAGCGTCGAGGTGGGAATGCCAATACCGCGCCCTGCCTATGAACCGACGGACAAGGCATTAGCAAGACTGCAGACTTCACCGTTTGTTCCAGCGATCGAAAACGCGCCCCTACCATCAGGCTTCCTTCAGCCGAAATTCACCACATATGAAGGCAAGACGGACCCGTACTCACACTTGAGCCACTTCCGCCAAGTCATGGCTGTATACAGACGAAACGAGGCCTTAATGTGCATACTCTTCCCATCAAGTCTTGGCGACCTAGGCTTGACTTGGTTTGAGAAGCTCCCAGAAGGCAGCATAGCCTCTGGGGCACAATTAGCAGAAGCCTTTGTGACAAGGTTCCGAACAAACACTAAAACCCCGGTGGAGATCGATCAGCTACTCTCCATCGACATGGGTGATAAAGAGACCCTAAGATCCTACAACAGTCGCTACTGGGAGACATTCAATCAGATTGGGGACTGCCCCACCAATCTCGCCATTGCACAGTATAAAAGAGGCCTTCCAGTTGGGAACAGACTGAGGGACTCGATCACAATGACGCCACCCCTCACTATGGAAGCCCTGATGGAAAGAGTGCATCAGCACATCAGGGTAGAAGAGGATGGCGCACGAGCCAAAGCAAAATCTAGTGCGACCGCAGTACCAGAAAAGAAGACCTCAGCAAAGGTCAATACAGTAAATCGACAGAGCAAAAACGGACGTGGCAGACGAGATAACGGAGAAGACCCTAATAAAAGATGGTTGAGAATCCGTACTGCCATAACCACGGTGTTCAAGAAATCGATATATCGAATTTTGAGCGAAATAAGAGATGAGCCTTTCGTCAAGTGGCCAGCCAAGCTGGGAGAAGCTCAGAAAGACTATGACGACAGATCACAATGCACCTTCCACAAAGAAAAGGGGCACCGAACTGAGAATTGCACGCCACTGAGACAGCACTTGGAAGAACTGGTGGCAGCAGGCCACTTGGACAAATACATTGAAGGAGGGATGCAACCGGCCCCCCAAGATCATAATGACCATCCCAACAGAATACCAATCGATGCACCACCTCAAGGCATTATCAATGTAATACATGGAGTCTTTGAACCAGCATGAGTCTGGGTAAGAGTCGGTTTTGGAAAAATGCTGTATTATGTTGGTACCCGCGCGGGAAGTTTAAAAGGTGCCCAGATATCTTGTCTAGGCTTATCGTTGGACGAATGTGAGAAAGATTGTTTTGGGTGTCCACATAGTCCTGCCATATTGTAGTTGGCGAAAGTGAAAAAATGGATGATTTTCTTGAGGAGCCCCCTTCTCGCCGTATAATAGTTGGCAAATGTGGGGATGGTTTTTGAAACTAAAATAACTTGTGTTGGACTCTTACATGGGACTCATGGTTTGTTTTCCATTGATGTGATTATTTAAATGTCGCGTTGAAAAGGTGTGAAATGTAATTGTCCATGCTAAATTGTTATGTATTTACATAAGTGGTGAAGATCACATGTGCTCATAACTTATTATTATTATGTTTTGTCTTAAGGATGCCATAAAATTCATTCAAATTATTAAATACTTGAGTAAATGTATTCCTACTGAGCGAGTTGCTCAACCCTATTTTATTTTTCAGGGACTGATGAAGTTCTACCTCAGTAGAGCAGAGGACACTTAGTTGGATTTTGAAAGAGGAGGACAAAAAGATTTTTTGTATTGGGACTTAATCATTTTGTGTGAAGTTCTATTTAGTTTTGATGTACCTTATGGGCTAGTGAGGCAATTGTCAATGTAATGCCATCTAGCTTCTTGAACTAGGATAAATTTTGGAGCATGTAATCCTTGGACTTTGTACAATGGAAAATGTTAGTTCAATGGGAAAGATGGCCCTTTTGGCATTATGTTCTGATGGTTGTGAATGTTTCTTATATTAATTATCAGGGTGTGACAATAGTTATTTGTTAACTTTTGATTTGTAAAATTTTTTGATTTGTTATTGTTTATGTTAAAATAAGAGATTTTGATATGCTAAAATTATAAATCTTAATTGGTGGTGATTTATATTAAAATTAGGGATTTTGGTTTGTTGTTGTTTGTGCTAAAATTAGGGATTTTATTTGTGCTAAAATTAAAAATATTAATTTCCAATGATTAATATTTAAATTAGAGATTTTGATTTGTTATAATTTGTGCTAAAATTAAAAATTTTGATTTGTTGTGATTTGTGCTAAATTTAAATTTTTTGATTGTATTAAAATTGGAGATTTTGATTTGTGGGGGTTTGTGATTTTGATTATGAATTTTATTTTGATTTTTAGTTTTTTCAAACAGCCATGGAGAAATATTTCAAAAGAAAATCAAAGTTGGAATCATCTCTTCCTCAAGAAAAAGATGATAATTATTCTTCTGCAAAATAAAGTCGCATAGAAATCGACCTAGTAGACCTTCCTGCAGATCCAGGACTACGACCTTGGATTATGGACTATGATGCTAATGATCGAGACCAAATTCATAGAGCATATCTACAAAAAGGTCATTGTCAACCTCGTGATCATAATTTTCCATAAAAATCATTTGGACAAAAACTTCGACGATTTAATCAGGCTTGGTTTAGTGAACTTCCTAATTGGTTGGAGTATAGCGTAGCAAAAGATGCAGCATTTTGTTTATGTTATTATCTTTTCAAACCCGATATTGGAGATCAAGTTGGCGATGATTCTTTTGTTGGTGAGGGTTTCTCAAATTGGAAGAAAAAAGAAAAAATTCAGACTCATGTTGGAGGTCCTAATAGTGTTGATAATCAAGTTTCGAGTAAATGTCAAGACTTGTTAAACCAAAACCAACATATTCAAACGATTTTTTTCAAATAATATGATCAATCTCGAATTAAGTATTGAACCCGTTTGAATGCATCGGTTGATTGTGTCAAATTTCTTCTATGACAAGGACTTGCATTTCGTGGGCATGATAAATCTGAAAATTCAAGTAACCAAGGAAATTTTCTTGAGCTTCTGAAGTTTCTTACTGATCATAATGAAGATGTCAAAGTGGTTGCATTGAGCAATGCTCCACAAAATCTCAAGTTGACATCACTTGATATTCAAAAAGACATTGTAAATGTGGTCGCATTTGAAACTATCAATGTGATTATTAGAGATCTTGGTGATGCACTTTTTTCTATTTTGATTGATGAAGCCCGTGACATATCAATCAAGGAGCAAATGGCAGTTGTAATACGATATGTTGACAAAAAAGGCCAAGTGATTGAGCGCTTTTTTGGTATTGAGGGCATGTTGCTAATACCAATGCTCTCTCAACATCAACAAGCTGTGAAAATTTATTCTCGTAGAACTTGGATTGAGTAATTTCCAGATTGCGGGGTCAAGGATATGATGGGGCTAGTAATATGCAAGGTGAGTTCAATGGTCTTAAAACACTTATACTGAAAGAGAATCCTTGTGCATATTATGTTCATTGTTTTGCTCATTAATTGCAATTAGCACTTGTGGCCATAGCAAAGAATCATAATAAAATTGCTTTACTTTTCACTTTGGTTTCTAATGTGGTGAATGTTGTTCGAGCATCATGTAAACACCGAGATATTGTTAGGGAGAAGCAAGCTGCAAAAGTTGCTGAGGCACTTAATATTGGAGAGCTATCTAGTGGGCAATGCTTAAATCTCTTAAACATGCAGATGATAAACGTTGGGGTTCATACTATGGTACTTTAGTCAACTTGGTTAGTATGTTTTCAACAGTGATTGATATGCTTGAAATGATTTCGAAGGATGGTTCAAATTCAGAACAACGAGCAGAAACAAATGTATTGTTAGACTTAATTCAATCATTTGAGTTTGCATTCAACCTTCATTTGATGAAAACGATATTGGCTATTACAAGTGAGTTATTGCAAGCACTTTAAAGGAAAGATCAAGATATTGTCAATGCCATGAATTTAGTTCAAATTTCTAAAGTACGGCTCCAAAAGATGAGGGAGAGTGGGTGGACATCTTTACTTGATAATATTTTGCCTTTTTGCGAAAAACATGAAATTGATGTTTCCCAAATGGATGATATGTTTGTAGCTCGAAAGAGAAAAATGTGCAATGCTCAAGAAATTACAAAATTACATCACTATCGCGCTGAGTTATTCTACACTGTTTTGGATATGGAAATTCAAGAACTAAATGCTCGTTTTACTGAGTTGAACACTGAGTTGTTACTTTGTGTGGCATGTTTGAATCTATCTAACTCTTTCTCTAGTTTTGACTGGAAAAAGTTAATTCATCTTACTGAATTTTATTTCCAAGAATTTTCTTTAGTGGAGCTCATGGTACTTAATGATCAACTTGATACATATATTATCAACATACTATCCAGTAATGAGTTCTCAATGTTGAATGGAATTGCCGATCTTGCTAAGAAAATGGTGGAGACCGGAAGAGACAAAGTATATCCATTGGTGTATTTGCACTTGACTTTAGCATTAATCTTACCTGTTGCAACTACTACTATTGAGAGGGTATTTTCAGTTATGAATATTGTGAAGAATCGGTTGTGGAATCGAATGGGTTATGAATGGATGAATGATAGCTTGGTTGTCTACATTGAGAGATATATTTTTGATGGTATTGACAATGATACTTTCATGGAAAGATTTCAAAAGATGAAAACTCGTCAGGGTCAATTGTAAAAATTTAAAATTAAAACTTTTTGTAATGAATATTAATTTTTAATGTTTAATATTAGCTCGAAAAATTATTATTATTATGTTATTGTTATTGATTAGGAAAGAAAAATTTTGAGATTATAATTAATAGGTGCCTGTAGACGTCCCGAACGCTCCGGGAGGGAAATCCCCTTCTGTTCATTTGGGCTCACTGCAGCTCAGGACTCAAAGTCACGGTCCTGTATCTAATCTCACAGAGTGCAATGCAAGACCGATGAATCATCAAAGAGTCCAAATCCGGCAAATCATTTTTGAAAACAGATTTTTTTGAAAGAAGTGTCAAACATGGACTGCTTTGCCAGATACAAAGTCGCCACCTAAATATTTTATTTTTGAAAAATTTAGAAAACCCTGACTCGTTGCCCGAGGCCACGTGTCCGTCATCACCAAAGTTGCCTCAGTTCGGGAACTTGGGTACGATTGGGGAAGGTCACTTCATGAGCACCCCCGCTCGCCCGATCAAAGATCGGCCTCTACGAACCATGATATCTAGTTTTGAAAACATTATGCGTTCTTAATCCGGTTATTAGCCTAGATTTACTATGTGATGCGCACAGCATACAAGTATAGACTGGATCGCCTGAGTTGGAACAAAACATTTCATGTTTGTTTTTTAAAGGCGGTTTGTACTCGCAATAGGGCTAAAATATGCAGATTTTGCCATCCTCGGGTGGGCTTAGAAAAGATGGTTTTGCCACTATCTAGGTGGGCTTTAAACTCACAGTCAATGCATTATTCCAATTCAGATAACCCAACCTTCACCCACAGGCATTCAGGCAGTTATATCACATAAGCGGTTAGCCTCATAGTAAGCATGCTATCATGGCAGTCACTCACACACATGCAAGGATACTAAAGTATAAAACTTACCGAGTACTTCAAGCCAAAACAAAAGCTATGTTAGAAATCAATGCATGATCCTAACTATACAGAAATGCCTAATGCAACACATGCAAAAATGCAACTACAATAGGCTCGGCTATTCTAAGAATGGCATATGAAATGCAACAACTGATACACGTATTCAACTTGGAATTGAAATACGATGCAGATAGTATGATGCGCCGAGCCCGGTGCATGCAAGACAGATGAATGGATGCAAACATGCGAGCATAAGTATGCTAATTGAAACATGCCCTAATCTAACCATCATAAGCTGGTAAATAAAAGGGAGAAAAACGTGGGGTTGGAAGACATACATCACACATACACACACTTATTACAACATTGCCCTCCTCGGAGGGTCCGAATAAATAACATACAGTCCTCATAAATACAAAACCCTAATTAATTAACAAATTAACTAGGAAAACAGTAAACTAGTATGCAAATTCATGGACTACCTCAGCTCTGTTCCGAATGATGAAAGATGCATGCTTGAGTTGCCTTGGTCGGGAAATTCCTTACGATGCCCCGGTTTGCCTCTGTTTGCAATTAATCCCGGAATGCTGTGCAAAGCTCTAGAAGGCTGCTGATTTCTGGTTTGCTGCAACAGAGAGCAAGAAAGGGGCATGGCAAAGTGTTTTCACAGATATATGCACACCTCGATCCTCGTGCCACCAATAATGCATCTTGATGCATGATGGCCGAGGAGTCGAATCGCACGACTCAATGTGAAATGAATGCACATGAAACACAACAAGGCCTAAATTCCATCATGGGTAATCCGGAGTGTCGACGACCGGGATTGAGACACGTTTTGTCACTTGGAGTACGAAACATCCCTCGTTTCCCGTGCTTGGGCTAACTCCTATCCCAAACACAATGCAAATGAGATGGCAGACATAATGCGACTAACATCTAACCTAGCATACGCAATGCTATGGACTAAAATGGCATATACAATGCACGTGATGTAACATGGCATACACAATACTCTAAAATGCAACCTAGCATACACAATGCTATGAAATGGCATACACAATGCATGATGGACTTACACCAACATGAGTGGACCTCAGCCACACTCACATCAGTGGCCATTAGATGAAAATGAGACAATCGAAATGCGTGCACACATGCACAAACACCAAGGACCGAACCTAAGGCATCAAATGCCACTCTACCAAAGCATGGCAAGGGATGAAAGTTGGCATACAAACATGCAATTTCCAGCACTGAAATATGATGCGCAATGGTCCCGAATCATGGAAATATGGCACCCAATGCATGAAAGAGGCCCGAAACTCAAAACTAGGCAAATGCATTGAACTATAATCATGCAAAGCAAGCATTATTTGATCACGAAGTATAAAAATAGAGCCAAGGCAGTCCCGAAATATGCGCAATATTAGTTCAAAGCATGGTCAAAAAGTGCTAACATGAAGGGCCAAAACAATATGCAACATAGGCTAGTGAACCATGAGTTGTACTACACCTATATGAAGCATATGAGATCTCACTAAACCAGCCAAAAATAGAAGTATGCCATGCCAAAATATGCCCAAATACTCATTGAAACTCAGTCCATGCATGCAAGAATGATGGGCACCTTTGGAAAGCCATACAAGGGGTTGTTCTACACATATATGATGGACACACCAAATGGTAAAACTACCTCTGGATAGAGGTTCTGAGGGTCCTAAAACCCACTAAAAAGAGCCTGAAATGGGTCTAGGAAACTTGCAAATAAAGGCCCCTTTGAAAGGCCTTGAATAGGGTTGTTTTACACATGCATCATAGATACAAAATATGGTCAAAGGGGCTCTGGACAGAGTTAAGGAAGACTTTAAAACTCACAAATAATGGCCTGAAAACAAGACTTCAAAGCATGTAAAATGGAGCTCCTTTGGAAGGCCAATAATGCTAGTAAAGAGAACAAGGGGTGAGAGGGTCACCCCTCTCTGTGTTTGAAAATCCACTGGATTTCAATGGCCAAATGGCCAAACCAAGGCCAATGCAAATGTTCTAATGCATAGCCCTAAACATGAGGATATGGAGCATACAAGGGGGAAGATGACCCCAAACAGAAAAAAGTTCTTAAACAAACATGTTTAGAAGATCAAAACAAGACTTTTTTCAGTTTATGTCGAAGTCCAAAAATGCTTGCAAATAGGGTTAAAGAATGGAGCAAAATAATGTCAAAAAAGGGCAAATGGAGACTTACCCTTGTAGCACAGCAATGCAGCAACTTCTGGACCAAGAAAGTGAGCTCTCAACCTCTGAAAATCAGTCCCAAGGTGGTTGAATGGATGGTGGAGGTGGTAGGCTAGGAGGTGTAGTGTAAATGGTGCAAGAACAAAGGGGTTTTGGAGCTTGGAAGAGAGAGATATGGAGGGAAGTGTATGTATGCTCTAACCAAAGGGTTCAACCGTAGCAAAAGAAGAGGAGGCCTCCCTTTATAGAGAAGAGAGGCCAAAGCTTCTCTAAGAAGCTTCAAACCAAGCTCAAAGATCCTCCATACACGTGTATGGAGGATCACTTCTGAGGCTTCCAACTGGCACAACTGGCTTACACTCAAAGAGACCAAAAAGCAGGAAGCAGGCCGACCAGTTAAGGTGGTCGGCTGGCCACTCCCCCTGGTCGGCCGACCAGGGGTCAAAAGGTTCAAGGAGAAATGCTGGCCGGCCACCCCAGAAAGGTGGCCTCCCAGATGAGAGCAACACAGCTGTATGGTAGAAAACCAGAAAATGTGACCTAGGAGAGAGAAAAATCAGCTTTTTAGCAAGGTTCAAAAGGGTCAAGAAGAATTATTGGTCGGCCTACCCATATTGGTGGCCACCCAGATGAGCACAACACAATGGTGGTATGAAAAACTAGAAATTATGGCTCAAAAGTGAGAAAAACCAGCTTTCTGTCAGAAAAATCGGCTGGAGGAGAGAGAAAAAGAGAAAGCTAGTTTCCAAGGGGAAAAGGTGGCCTCCCACCATACTACCACCTCCCTAGCAATGAAAATAGGGTCCCTACCAAAAATGGACTAAGACGGATGCAAAACGAAGGTTCGGGGGCCAAAACGCGCAGCCCGGGCCCCGAAAACAGGCTGTTAGGTATCAGAAGTGGCGTGTGACCATGAAGGTGGTCTCTCGGGCCACAGTGTCCCTCAAAAGAGAGGAAACAAGGTGTGTGCCAAAAATCGGAGCAAACGGAGGTAGTTAAGCTGTCCCGAACCGAGGCACACGGCCGACGGCTTCGAAAATCAAAAACTGGGCTCGAAACGGGAAAAATGGCCTACGACCACGAAACGTAGCCTATGG